TGGGCTCAGCAAGTGAAGGTGCTGCTGGCTGGGGCACAGCACCACCTTTTAGGGGTTTTTTAGGGGCACATCAGCCTACCCACCATCCCTTCCCTGCTCTCATCCAGGGGTTATTCCGAGCAGCACGGCCGACGTTTCACTGCCGTGATTCCCACCAACGTCTTCGGGCCACACGACAACTTCAACATTGAGGACGGCCATGTCCTGCCTGGGCTCATCCACAAGGTCTACCTGGCCAAACGTGAGGGTGGCAGGACTTCCAGGGATTTTTTGGGGGAGAAATGAGGGGTTTTTCTTTCCCACCTGCTCTGTGGGGTGGTTAGAGGTGGCTCTGGTGGTCATGGCTCCTTCCTCCTGCAGAGTCCGGCTCTGCTCTGACCGTCTGGGGAACGGGCAAGCCCAGGAGACAGTTCATCTATTCCCTGGTAGGTGTGGCCTTGAGAAGCAGGGAATTGGTCTGGAGGACCCACTGGCAGGACCCCAGAGGGGTCAGAACCCCCCTGGCTTGTCCTGGGCCATCCCCAGAGTTGTGTCCCCTTTGGATGGGAGGGCTGGGGGACATCAGTGACTCCTCCAAGAGTTGTCTGCTCTTCCACAGGACCTGGCCCGACTTTTCCTTTGGGTCCTGCGGGAATACGATGAGGTGGAACCAATCATTTTGTCAGGTAAGCCCTGACTTCTCCCCAGGAGTCCCCTCTCCATGAGGGAACAGCCATAATCCTTCCCTTCTCCACAGTGGGAGAAGAAGATGAAGTCTCCATCCGGGAAGCGGCAGAGGCCATTGCGGAGGCCATGGAATTCAGGGGAGAGCTCGTTGTATCCTTCACAAAAGGCTAAGCCCCTCTTCCCACCAGCTCCCTTGAGAGATTCCATGATCCAGAGGATCCTTCACACCAAAGGAGCAAAAGCAAGACCTGTTTTTCCTCCTTAATCCTTCCCATCCCAGTTTGACACCACCAAGTCAGATGGGCAGTTCAAGAAGACGGCCAGCAATGCCAAGCTCCGGCGGTACCTGCCCGGATTCCAGTTCACACCTTTCAGGAAAGGTGAGATGGGAGAGTCTCCAGGAGACACCAGGGGTCCTACCCCATGCCATCAGCCTTGGTGGCATCAAGGTGGTCCACCCTTTCCCGATGAAGAATGAGGGTGATGAAATACTGGCATGGGTTGCCCAGGGAGGTGGTGGTTTCTCCATCCCTGGAAATATCCAAGGTCAGGTTGGATGGGGCATGGAGCAGCCTGGTCTCTTAGGAGGTGTCTCCTTGCTTGGTGGTTGGATAAGACCTAAAAAAAGTCCCTTCCAGCCCAGCCTATCCTATGATTAAATGACCAAAATCCATTCCCAGTCCCCAAACCCATCCTGTGATTCTATGACCAAAATCCATTCCTAATACCCAAACACATCCCATTTTCTCCCTCCCCAGCTGTGAAGGAAACCTGTGCCTGGTTCAACGCCAACTATGCCACTGCCAGGAAGTGACAGCACCGGGACTGGGATCACCTGGCACCGGGATCATCCTCTTCAACTCAGGGTTGTCCTTTGCTGGGGCAGAGGACGGGGCTGGGGGGGTGACAGTGACATTTCCAAAGCAAAAACAGGAGCCTGGGGAGCAGCTCCCACGTTCCTGCTCCACTGCTGGGAGTGGCGCAGGACGCCCAGGGCAGGGGGGAGGAAGGTTGGGGCATCCCAAAAACATCCCAAATCAAGTAGTAGGAGCCAACTGGAGCCACATTGCCATGGCTGTGACCAAGAGGGTGGTGGCTCTGAGCTGTTAATGAGCTACACTAATGACCTGCAATTAGGTGTAATAAACAGAAGGCAATCAGGATTCCAGGGCATGGAAATGGCAGCAGGGAATTTGCCGCTGCTCTTGGCACTTGGGGATGATCCCACAGCCCCCCATCTCAGGATAAGAATGGAAAAGATTGCAGCTGTAAATGTGGCATTTATTAAAATATATGCAAATAGCATAAAACTGGTGGGATAATGAACATCTGCCCTGTACCCACATCCAGTGACATCCATGTTCTCCACCAGATCTGGAATAACCATAAAAAGGGTTAAAACCTCTCTGTGAGGGAGTAGAAGGTCAAAAATGAGGGGGTGAATTCATGGCCAAGCTACTGCCAGTGATGTGGATGTGGCAGAATTCCTGCCCGGGAATGGCTTTCTTTCGGCACCACTGCCCAGCCCTGGTGAGCCCCTGGCATGGAGACCT